AATCTCACAAGGCAAGACTTCAAACAAGAAGATTTTGAATTCCTAACGATTTCTGATTGAAAACACAAAATCAGTTCTTCTTATCAGAATTCCTAGCTTTAAGCACTTGTGTTCTGTATACCCTTTAAGCTTGTTAGAGTCTTGACATCAGTCAATTACCTGGTTGTTGATGTTTTTTTTTAAAATAACTTGTACCAGGTAAGTGAGGTTTCTATATGTCAAACATGAAGAAAACCTGTAGTGGGAAATTTTCTTTTTGGCTCCTGAAGTGAATATCCTTCCTTAAGTACTATTAGAACTTAGATTGTCTGATTATGTCATTACAAATATCATAAAACAAAAGACCTTTACTAGGAAATGATTTCTTCCACAGCAAGCCTCACCACTCATGCATGCTAAAAGCTTAAAATTATCATCTCTAAAATTCAAATGCAACTCCATTGTTTTTGCTTTTCTGTTTCTCATTTGCAGTAAGAAATTTGATTAAGAACTGTGTCTGCAGATTCTAGCATGGTTTTTTTGCATTAATGCGCCTAAAACTCACAAAATTTAGTGAGGACTGGACTGCATATAGTTTAGGGCAGAGCAGAACTCATTGCAAAGGTATAAAACCTTGGATATTTTCTCACAAGCAAGCTAAAGCTATTAAAGTTAGCCTTTGAGATTCATATCTCCTCCACCTTTTTACCTTGAATTCAACCAACACTTGCCTTTTACAATCTGTGCCTATTCAATCATCATAAAAAACCCTTTTCAAAACTATTCTAAGTTACGATCAAATTACTCTCATATTTACCAACACCAAGATAGAGCGAGTTTGGCTATCAACTAATGTTCACCTACTGCACCAGAGGTCCACATGGTTGACCAAAAATTTATGCCCTTGTGCAATTCCAAGCTTGTGACTAAAATTTAATTATAATATGAATAGAAAAACCGAGTTTCTATTTTATTTTGTATAATATTCATTATAATTTTTTGAGATATATTGAACAATAATACTAATTAATAGTTTGATAGTAATATTTTTGTTAGAAATAAAAAGGTAATCATAATAATAATAATAACAGTTAATTAGATGTCAAGGATAGAAAGAACTACTGCCATTTTTTCTTATTGAATTAGATAAAAATTTGTTTTTTTAAAAAAAAATAGAAATTGGTATGTATGTACAAATTATTATCCATGACGATAATGTCACAAAACTCAAAATGTTAATGTAACATGTCATTTATTTTATAAATAATGGTTAATTAAAATATTCATGTAAATAGTTTTTTTTTCTTGGGTCAGGAAGCACCACATTAACGGTAAAAACCTAAGCACTGCTAAAAGCAGGTATAATTAAGGGAATTTAAAATTCTTTGATGATAAAATCAATAATTTTATGAACAAAACAATAAATAACTAAAAGAGCTTTAAATTACAAGAACAAGGGATGTTTGTTCTTATATTTTAGGATGATTAATGTTTTGGAATATATACAAGCTATTGAGAAATGGAAAAGGTTCTGAATATTTACCTGGATGATTCATTGGGTATTTGTATCCCCCGAACCTTGTCATTTTTTAAGAAATAGAAAAGATTCTTTGCTTTAGATGGCATTAATAAGGGACAAATATATCTTACATATCATTATTGAAATAGTAAGTGCGGTAGGTCTCTTAAAAGACCTTTTTATATATCTATAAATATAGGGAAATCGGTACTTTTTACATGAATAATTCATGTAATTGTTCTAGAGGTAGGATTCTTTAGTCCCGGATACTCAAGACTTGAAATGTAATCAAATTCAAAAAAAGAAAATGGCATGACAGTTTATCCAACTTATAAGATTTTTAGATTAGATGATTGTTTGAGATATATATGGCATGTTGCCTTGAGTTTGTCTAATTGCCGAACTTAAGTATTTTAGATTTGACATCTTACCAAACCCATATTTCTTAAGGTTTATCTTATAGCTAAACCCAAGTTTATTAAATCCGGCATCTCGTTGGGCCTAATTTTTCTTGGGTTCAATGGGTAGATGAACCCAAGCATGTTGAGTCTAGTGTCTCGCTAGGCCTATGTTTCCCTAGATTCAACAGACTGTTAAACCCAAATTTATTAGGTTTGGCACCCCTCAAACCTAAGTTTTATTGGGTTCAATGAATGGTTGAACTTAAATAAGTTGAGTTTGACGTATTTTCAAGCCCATGTTTCTTTGAGTTTAGCTTACAACTGAATCCAAGTTTATCAAATTTGACATATCATCAAACTTAACTTATATCAAGTTTGACTGATTGTCGAACCCAAGTATTTTAAGTCCAATAAAATACTAGACCTATGTCATGTTGGATTGTCGAACCCAAGTATTTTAAGTCCAGTATAATACTAGACCTATGTCATGTTGGATTCAGTTAATTACAAAACCTATAAGTAGTGTGTCTGACATTTCATCAGACCCATATTGCTTTGGAGTTCAATAATCAACTGAACCTAAGTACATTAGATTTGGTATACAACCAAACCTAATTTATATTGGTTCAACTAATTTAAATTCGGATCAACCTGATTCATCAATGTCCTTTTCAATGTTATTAGACTTAGATTAACTTAGCTTAGTAAGTCAATTTAGTGACTCGTAGATATGAAACATGTTGAGTCAATAAATGACTTAATCAAACCTAATCAAAACTAAATTTAATCTTTTTTTTAAATAATATCATTTTATCCTAAAAAATAATATTAAAATAGTACTCAATTGATCTAGATGAATCATTAACCCATAACCCCAGTTGAGTTGTATTAATAAAATAAAAACAAATAAGTGATATAAGTGATGAAGTCCTAAAAATTCAAGCAGTCTAGAAACTGGGCTTCTAGGTTAGATAATCGATTAATCAATTGGTCTTAACAATCTTATTTATTTTTATTAGTCAAGGTAATTAATAACTTATACTTGATACTTGGTAGACCAATGTGGTTTGTGGCTAGTACTTGTAAAAATATTATTTTTTGTTGAAGTAATTAAGGACTCTCTGATGCTTAAATAAATACCTTTTTAGAGAGAGGACATACAATAATATTCTAGATAAAGATGCTCTGAAAATATATATGCAACAAAGAATAAAAATTATAAATTTTTATTTTGAAGATCTCATGGTGTATTTATAACTTATAAGTCTTGTCTTTTTGTAAAGATGAGAGACTGAAGTGTAATTTTATATTTATGATATTTTAAGTTGTATTCCACTCATTTTATCCAGCTAAATGATAGAGACATGGTGGGCCATGAAAAACTTCAATACATCTAATGGTGTTGGCAGAATGTAGACTTGTTTACTTAACTATATTTGTGAAGAAATAAATCTTCCAAGATTTTATGTAAAAATCTATAGAATTGAAGGCGTTAGATATAAGTATTATACTTGAATCTGTGGGTATAGCTAACTCAGTCTTGCCTTAGTTGTGATGACAAAATCCTTGGGCTCGACACTTTCAAGAAACACGCATTAGGTCCACCTACATTGTCCTAGCAACGTATGAAGCCAAGCTTCTAAGCTTGATAACACTTATCAGACCCAAAAGTTGGGTTTGGTAGGTGCTAGGTTCAAATGGTGTCTAGGTCTTGTTAGCACCATACCCAAGTTATGATTAGGCCCAACACCATTTGTCAAACCCAAATATTGGGTTTGGTGCTGGCTAGACCCACCAGTACTTGGGTCTGGCCAAGGCCAAACCCCGTAACCTTTGGGTCTGGCATTAACCAGACACAACGCGCCTTCATTGTGGCATGTTTGTGCTAACATGTGCCAACCCAACACACCCGATAATTATGGAAAATTATACCTCATTTTTTTCTTGATCCGGTATATTTTGATAAAGATATATAATGATATACTAATAAAATATTGGTTTATCAGTAGCCTCCATTTTTTGATATATAATATATACAAAGACTTTAATTAATTTTCCAGTTCAGATAAAGTGATGACTTTTGCTTATATAAAAAGGGATGTAAACTGGAAAAAATAGAAAAAAATATGCTTTTGGACTAAAAAAATTTTTCTCAGACATAAAATACCAAGAGTATGTACTTATAAAAATTCTAAAATATTAAGGGTATCATGTCATCATTTTATAAAAAAATTTAAGTAATTATGTAGAACTTAATGTGATTGAGCCATTAACTTAAAAATTTCTAGAGTGGAGTATAAGAGCTTGTGGTTTTCTTAGTATTATTATGAGGTTTAAGAGCCCTCAACTAAAAAGTAGTAATTATGCTTTTTTTTTATAAAGCATGGAAGCCCATCACTGAAGAATGGTAATTGGATGATGTTGCATTGTACTAAGTAGATCAAGTTTGTCCAATGAAGAGTAAAGTTATTGTCATAGGAGATAGAGTTATGCAAATAACACTAGGAAGATAAGTTTATTTCATGAAGAGTAATGTATGGAACATTAGGGAAATCAAATTTATCCTTTAGTAATTTGAGGGACTACTACCCGTAGAGAGATAAAGTTCATTTTTTAAAAAGTGATGCATATAGTATCGAGGAGATCAAATTAATCGTATGAAAAATGAAGCATATAGCATTGAAGATATCAAGTTTATTCATTAGAAAGTGATACATATAATACTAAAAAGATTATATGTACTAATAAAAAGACCACGACTATTTCTTAAAAATTTGAGAGACTAATGCTTTTAGAAAGACTACCATAATTTTGCATAAGTCTTGTGAAAAACTAATAATTTAGTCTACATTTTGTTTCACCTATAATTTAAAAAATATTTGGTTACCCCAAATGACATTTCACAAAATCTTTTTTTATTTAAAATTAATTTGTTTAATTTTTTTAATTATTTTGATATGCTAATATTAAAAATAAATTTTAAAAAATATAAAAATATTATTTTAATAAATTTATAAATAAAAAACAGCCACTATCATAATCACACCATTAAAAATGCTCTAATTGTGATAAAGAACTGTTGCAAAGAGAGGAGAAAAAGGAAACATAAGAATTCTTAGTGATTACCAAGCTCTTAAATTTTAAAAACTAACCATCAAGGATGTTTTTTGTTCAAAAATTAAAGATAGATGGCTAACTTGTCCAAAAGTTTTGCATGGTTACAAGCCTTGTGCCTGTGCATCATCTGCACCTTAAGTTGTATACCCCCCCGCCGCCGCCCGCCCAAAGAAACCAGGACGCCATTGAAGCTGCATAAACCTATCCGGATTATACACTACATGTATGATTAAGTGTTGAGTGAATCCATACACATGGAAATGCTGTGAGAGTCAGAACTCACAAGGACATAAGTGCACGGAGATCGTCTATGCCAACCTCCCTTTGGGTCTTTGTTCCTCGCCTTCCAAAAGCTTCTTTTGCCAGTTTCTTCTTCCTTTCCTGCATCTCTAATATCCTCTCTTCAATGCTGCTTTGAGCGATCAGCCGCACAACTGTTACATCCTCCTCCTGTCCAATACGGTGGACACGGTCCATAGCCTGTTCCTCAACTGCTGGATTCCACCATGGCTCCAACAAGTAGACTCTGGAAGCAACTGCAAGGTTTATACCAGCTCCTGAAGCCTTTAGACTTGCAAGCAGAACTGTGGGTCCATCTGGTCCTGGCACTCCAAATTGCTTGATAACTTGAGCTCTCTTTTTTGCATTCATTGACCCATCTAACCGCAAGATCTTGAAACCAGATTCTTTTAGTGGCTCCTCAAGTAATACCAACATCTTCTGGAATTGTGAAAAAACTACTGACTTTCTTGCAGGGTTTTCAGCCCTCGATGTTATCAAGAGTTTTATGAGAGCTGAGACTTTAGAAGACGTAGTTGTTCTTGAAGATGTGTTTGCGTTGTCAGAAGCAGAAGATTCAGGAGGGGCTGAGAACAGGTCAGACACGGATAGAGGACGGCGACAAAGTGGACAGCATTGTTTGGCGCGCTGCAGGGTTTTCAAAATGCATGGTCGGCAAAATATGTGAGCGCAGCGTGTTATTACAGTCTCAGTTGGCGGACAAATGCATATCGGACAGTCAAAATCTTCACCATCTTGTAGCACCGTGACCATCTTCATAAGCAATTCTGGGTTACTGGATACATCTGGCATAGAATCAAGTTTCAAACAGTAAGCACACCATAACCATAGCATTTGGAAAAAAATGTATCAAAAACTTTTGCAATTTGAACAAACTAATCTCATTTCTTTCCTGTATCAAACAGGAATGAAAACACACAGCAATTTGTTATTGGACATCATAAAGCATCGATATTGCTTATAACTGGAACCATATACAAGAAACGAGCAATCTTGGAAGATGCATAAATTTATTACCAGAGATTTTCAGCAACAACAAACCAGAATGAAAAAATTGATGCATGCATATGCAAGATAATCCATATAACACTCAATATAGAACTGTTTGAAATATGATGTATCATATAGCCATATCCTGACCTTGGAATATGGAAGTGAATTTAAGGAGTGGAATGTATAAATAAAGGTAACACGCCCAAAAAAATCCCCCTTCCAAATAATTTTAGAAGAGTTGTGATAGAATCTAAGCAATTGAAATAGTCATACCCAAAACAAACAAAAAAAACTATTAGGCAGTATTAAAAGTTAAAATACCTTCAATACTGTTAGAGGGGAGGAGTGACTTCAGATCAGAAGGACACAATGCCAAATCATTACATATCTGGCGAAGTCGTAAAATTATACAAAGTACAGTCGAAAAGTTGCGCATTAGATTGTTGGTGTTGATAAAATTTTGGACAACACCCTTGGCTTCTGCTTCCATCTGATCATACAGTTCACGTTCTTCACCAGAAAGTTCGATGTAATGTGTCTCTACAGTTTTTGATGGCAATCCAACTACACCCTTATCTTTTGTTCTCCGTAAAGAAATGGTTGCCATTAAAACCTGAAATCATATGAAGTCATGACACAATCATAACCTACAAATAACATGACTAATAAAGAAATTTCCTAAAATCATAGGCAAATATGTATATGAATCCAAAAGAGAAACAATAAACACCTGATAAATGAGCTGCAAAAAATGCAATTTGTAATGGTTGGGAAAGGCACAATCATGTCTAACTAGGCACTAAGCCATGACGTTATATATGGCGATGCAGAAGCATTCCTGATAAATCAGAAACTTAAATGGAAAAATGAATATGAGATAAATGGTGCTAAATAAGGTTCAGGACAGCTGAAAATTCTCATAATAGGAATCGATTGTGGTATTAACTTAGAGGAAAAAAAAATGTATTAACTCAGCAGAAAAAGGTAATTCACATATGACTAGAATGCTACATGTCTAGTTTCCAATGCTTCAAACGATGCCCAGATCTTAGTTTTCTATGGGGAACTACGACAATTTGACTCCCAAGTGTACAGGCTGTCAGGAAATCTGAAATCTCTCCCCAGCATTAATTTTAACTTGCATGCTTCTACCTTCTTTGTAAATAATCAGCACGTAAAACTTCAATAATTAAGCCATTGAGTGGTGAGATATCCTAAACTCTAATCTCTAAGGTGGTGATATTTCTGTATCTTAGATTCAGAGAGTTTAACCCTTGTTAGTGGTTATTTTTTGTATCTCTGAAAGGTTGAACACCATTTATCCTATATTTATGCATCCTCCACATTTCACATTTCCAACATCTAAATACTAAACTAACCAGAATTTCATTGGCACCCAGCTCTGAGTTTTTCGGTATCATATTGGGAGACAAAATTACTTATTATAAAGTCAGAAAAATTTTCAATGGAATTATGCTGTGAAAATCCTGGATATCAGAACTCCAACATTGTACAATGCAATTGTCAATAGCCAACATGCTGATGTGAAGGTAACATTTTCAAGTAACGGAAGAAAACAAAATCAACAATAGGATGATTTACCTGCAGTCGCGAGAGCCCTTTTTTGTTACCCTGAGCAAGTGGCCTCTGTAATAGGCTTTGCCAGTAGCTCTTGATGGAGAATGGCTCGAACCTCAAAAAGGCCATCAGAGAAAACAAATCAAGTGATCCATTCTGGATAGGCGTTCCTGTAACAACCCATCTCCGCTTAGCATTCAATTTGGTAACTGCTCGACTTTGCTGAGAATTTGCATTCTTAATCACATGCGCCTCATCCAAAATGACTCGGCACCAGTCAATCTTCTTCATAGGGGAGTCTTCCCATGGGTCCTCGGCAGCCAAAGTAGAATATGTTGTCAATACTATATCATGCTTCTTAAGCTCCTCAACTTCTCTAGTCCTTTCCCCATAATACATATATACACCCAATGACCCACGCTGAGTGTGCTCCTCTAGCTGAGTTATCCATGTTGAAAATACAGCAGGAGGGCACACAATTAATGTAGTCTTAGTACATGGAACACCAGAAGACTTATCAGCCATGAGGACAGACTTTCCCTTCACATTTCCATCTGAAAGGGTATCCTCAACTTTACGCTTTTTCCGTCCTCCAATGACCTTTTTACTCACTCTACCCCTCTTACCCTTCCTACTACCAGAAACAGATACATCCTCATCATCCCCACCTATTTCTTCAGCAACATTGTCTTTATTGCCTCCAACAACACCAGTAGCACCACCACATTTATCAAAAGCAATCAAAGAAAGTAAAGCTAGAGTCTTGCCCAACCCCATATCATCAGCAAAAATCCCACCTCGCAGGGGCTCTGGTCTCCTATTAGTATGATAATTCGTCAAAACATTCACAAACTCCCCATCTTTCTCCTCCCAAAAAGGAGGTAGTTCACCAGAATTCTCTCTATTAACCAACCACCATAACCCTTCTTTTTGATGCTCAAAAAGTTGAGACTTTATCACTTCCTTTGGAGGCTCTAAAGCCCCCAATTTCCCTTTCTTATTCACGTTCTCATCAACCAATTTAAATATCTCATCCAAACTCTTTAGCCCACTTTTCTTATTCTTTTCTTTAACCACCATAGCCTCAGATAACCCAAAACCTACTTCCATTTGAGAAAGTAAAACCAAGCCACCTCGCGAAATCGCAGTTTTAACACTCTCAAAATCCTCTACCCTAGCAAAGACATGAACTTGACAGGGAATTTTATACTTATTACCACCACTCCTAGAATTAGGCACTATACCTTCAACATTAATCATATTTGAATCAATTAAAGGAGATAAAACAGCAGCAACTGACCTTTCAATGTGACCCACTTGAAGACACCTAGTGTTCAGTACCTTTAAAGCATTCTGATCAAAAGGGTTAAGTGGTTCCCTCACAAGACCAACCAATTCACGGCCAGTAATTGTGCCTGAGTAGTACTGTAAACCCACTATATTGGCTATAACAAAACCAACCATGAATGACTCATTTGGGGTTTCTTGTAAATAAGAACAATCCTGCCAATTATCAAGAGACATGTAAAGGCTCACTGGGTCTTCATGATCCTCTTGAAATTCTTCCATTAAAGTAAGAAAATCAAAGAAAGTTCGAGTCTTTCTGTGTCTTTCGAGTCGATGAACGGTGGGTTAGCCAGAGGTGTTTTGTGGCGTTCAAGAATCTGTGAGATTAAGACATGTAGCAGGTTGTGCCGTTTTTAATTTTTGTGTTTGAATTGGAGAGTCTAAAAGGGCGGGTCTTGAGAGAGAAAGAGATATAGAGAGAGGAGCTGGTCGGTCTTTATCTACAGTATAACTGACTGTTGAAAATTGACGTTGGAAACTGCAAAGAAATTAGTTTTTGTTCTTGGCATTTTTTGTTGTTTGGTGTGATTTTATAAAATGGGTGGTAGGCAGATTTTTCTAAATTCTCGACAAGACATGTTGCGTTGTAATTATATTATAAATCTTAATAAATTCAAATATATTTATTTTAAAAATAAAATTTTGGTATCTTCATAAATAATTGATTCTAAAATATGAATTTATAGGTTATCATAATTTTTTTATAATATATTTTGTTATTATTATATCATGAAAGATAAAATTTTGGTAATTTGTTAAAGATGAATTCTAAAATGTAAAGTTATGAAATATTATAATTTTTTTTAAAATATATTGTGTTGTTATTATATTATAAATATTGAGAAATCTAAATATATTTATGTTATAATTATCATAAAATATTTAAGAAGATATATTACATTATTATTATATTATAAATTTCAATAGATTCATAAATTCATGTATGTCTATATGAAGATGAAAATTTGACATCTTCATCAATAATGAATTCTAAAATGTTCATTTGAAAAAAAATTGTGTTGTTATTGTATTATAAATATTGAAAAATCCAAGTATATCTCCATTGTAGGCTATTATAAAAAAAAATTTTAAGAAAATACATTTGCATTATAATTATATTATAAATCTCAAGAAATTAAAATATATTTAAAATTAAATTTTGGCATTCTTGTCAGTAATAGATTTTAAAATGTTAAGTTATAGAATATTCTATTTTTTTTAATATATTATGTTGTTATCATATTATAAATCTTGAAAAATTCAAGTATATCTAGGTTATAGATTATCATAAATTTTTTAAAGAGATACATTGTGTTATCATTATATTATAAATCTCAATAAATTCAAGTATATTTACAATGAAGATGAAATTTTGGCATCTTCATCAATGATAAATTCTAAAACGTAAAGTTATTAGATATTTTATTTTAAGAAAAAAAATTGTGTTGTTATCGGATAAATTCAGGTATATTTACAATGAAGATGAAATTTTGACATCTTTATCAATGATGAATTCTAAAATGTAAAGTTATTAGATATTCTATTTTAAGAAAAAAAATTGTGTTGTTATCATATTTTAAATCTCAAGAAATTCAAGTGTATTTATTTTATAGACTATCATAAAAATTTTAAAAAGATATATCATATTGTCATTATATTATAAATCTTAAAATATTCAAGTATATCAACGATGAAAATGAAATTTATTTTAGCATTTTCATCGATGTTGAATCCTAAAATATAATGTTATAAATATTTAAAAAATTTAAAAAATATATTTTTTGTTATCATATTATAAATCTTGAGAAATCCAAGTATATCTATATTATAGGCTATCATAAAAAAAAATTAAAAAAATTATTGCATTATAATTTTTTTATAAATCTTGAGAAATTCAAGTATGTCCATGTTAAAAATGAAATTTTGGTATCTTTGTGAATAATTGATTCTAAAATACAAAGTTGTAGGCTATCTTAAAAATTTAGAAAAGATATATTGTGTTGTCATTATATTATAAATCTCAAGAAATTCAAGTATATTTACAATGAAATTTTGACATCTTTATCAATGTTGGATTCTAAAATGTAAAATTTAAGATATTTTAAAGTTTTAAAAAATATATTGTGTTGTTATTGTATTACAAATCTCAAGAAATCCAAGTATATTCATATTATAGACTATCATAAGAATTCTAAAAGATATATCACAATGTCATTATATTATAAATCTCAAGAAATTCAAGTATATCTATAATGAAGATGAAATTTTGGCATTTTCATCAATGTTGGATTCTAAAATGTAAAGTTATAGGATATTTTAAATTTTTTAAAACTATATTTTGTTGTTGTCGTATTATAAATCATGAGAAATCCAAATATATCTACATTATAGACTACCATAAATTTTTTAAAAAGATATATTGCATTATCATTTTATTATAAATCTTGAAAAACTCAAGTATATCTATGTTAAAAATAAAATTTTAGTATGTTTGTCAATGATTAATTCTAAAATACAAAGTTATAGACTATTATAAAAATTCTAAAGATACATCATGTTGTTATTATATTATAAATCTCAAAAAATTCAAATATATCTATGATGAAATTGAAATTTTAGTATCTTCATCAATGTTGGATCCTAAAATGTAAAGTTATAGGATATTTTAAATTTTTAAAAAATATATTTTATTGTTATCATATTATAAATCTTGAGAAATCCAAATATATCTACATTATAGACTATTATATTTTTAAAAAAATATATATTACATTATCATTTTATTATAAATTTCAAGAAATTCAAGTGTATGTATGTTAAAAAGGAAATTTTGGTATCTTCATCAATGATTGATTCTAAAATATAAAGTCATAGATTATAATAAAAATTCTAAAAAATTATATCACGTAGTTATTATATTATAAATATTAAGAAATTCAAGCATATTTATAATGAAGATGAAATTTTGACATTTTCGTCAATGTTGAATCCTAAAATGTAAAGTTATAGAATATTTTAAAAAATTGAAAATATATTTTGTTGTTATCTTATTATAAAATTTGAGAAATCCAAGTATATCTATATTATAGACTATCACAAAATTTTAAAAAGATATATTGCATTATTATTTTATTATAGATCTCAAGAAATTCAAGTATATTTATTTTAAAAATAAAATTTTAGTATCTTCATCCATGATTGATTCTAAAATATAAAGCTCCAGGCTATTATAGAATTCTTAAAAGATACATTGCATTATCATTATATTATAAATCTCAAGAAATTCAAGTATATCTATAATAAAGAGAAAGTTTTGGTATCTTTTTTAATAATGAATCTAAAATGTAAAGTTATTAGATATTTTAAATTTTAAAAATATAAATTTTTCTGTTATCATATTATAAATCTTAAAAAATCCAAATACATTTACATTAAAGATGAAAATTTAGTATCTTCATAAATAATAGATTCTAGAATGTAATGATGTCACCAAAACATGAATAAAAAAAATTATTAACTAAACAAGTATTATAAGTATTATCGTAAGAACAAAATAATGTGTTAAGTGTTTTTCTTTTCTTTAAATAGGGTGTTTGAAAGGAGTATTAAAATTTGATTTTTGGAGTGCACTTATTGATTTAAACTTATTTTTATTTTCTAAGAAGATGTTTAATATGCAAATTATGCAAATTGAGGGTACAAGATGAAGGATTGGTTACAAGATTTTTAAGAAATAAAAACTTTTATACTATGATTTTTCTCCTCCTCGAACTTATAAACAGTTTTAATGTTCTTAAGAATTATATTATTATAAACGATTAAATTATAGTTTATTAGAATGGAATTTTGCATCAGATAAAGTTATAGATACAATTCCTCAGATAATCTTGCTCATGTAATTTTCTTATAATAATGGAATTTTTATACACTTACTCTCATTTTTTTAAAACTCAAACTGACCCCAGGTTTAAATTTTCAAAACCTAGACATTAACTTGTTAGTTTTTTTAAGATTATTTTTCATATAGTGTTATTTTAATATTTTTTTAAAAAATATAAATTAAATCAAATTAAACCAAATCTCTTTTTTTTTTTTATCTATAACCCGAATCTTATTCTAAGTTGACATCAAGATAATATTTAAAATTACATTCAGTAAAACTTACTCATGTAATAATTTAACATGTAAAACATAATCTAAAAGGTGATATGTAGCATGGGATAATTTGAATCAGTCCCCACATCTTCTACTTTCGTTCAAATTTCCCCTCCATCCATCCCCAAAATTTATGAAACACCTCTACAACGTTCAAAAGGAGAAGAAAAAATAAATGCATTAAAATAAAATAAAAATGATAAAACTTGAGAGGGTTAGTTTCTTAAAAAAATCATCAAATCTTACCACATTCAATTCTCACTTAGCGATTCCTTTGTCAATACCATAATTAAATTAAAATTAAGATTAAAATTAAATATTTAGTTAATTATTTAATTCCTTAATTAGTGTTGACTGTATTTAATTTAATATTATTTTATTTCAAAAAGTGTCTTCTGTCCTCGTAAATCTTTCCATAATATCTATTTTTCTACTTAGAAAACCAAAAAAGAAAGATTGGAAAAGAACATAAAATGGGCGAAACGGACTATATACTTAGTTTTTTTTTTTTTTTAATTAAGGAAGACTAATTAATTGGTTTCTCAAAACTAGAGAGACTAATCTATCATTTACTCGAAAATCAAGAATTGAAAGAAATCAAGTAAAAGGCATTAAAAAAAATATTCAGACATGAGAGGTCCTGCAACCTTGAGATAAAACATACTTGTGACACAGATGGCCGACAATCCACCCATAGCATCGAAGAAGGTGCTGTTTTTAAAAGATGGGTTAATTATTAAAAAATTATTTTAATTTAATAAAATTTTAATATATAATTTATATTACGTTTTAATATAATTTTTTAAGTAAAAATCTTTTAGATTCGAAAATTATATAGGTTTACATTATTTTATATTTAATTTTTATTAAATAAATAATAATGATGAGAATCGAAGATTATTAAAATTTTATTATTATATTAAAAAATTATTTAAATTTAATAATTTAAATTTTTATATATAATTTTTCTTATTCTTTACCATGTACCTGCGCTCTAACTTCAGCTGTGTAGTCAGCAATCCTACCAATTTCCTTTTGTTGGTTTCGTTTTGCTCAACGTCTTCCTTCTCTTCATGGGGAGTTTGCGATGTAGGAGGAGCCAAGTTCTTTTGACTCACCACTCCCACTCAGCTTACTCGCCCGCGCCGGAATATTCAGAAGCTCGGCTTACCTGAAAAGACAAAAGAGATGTCAAGAACATGACATCAGAGAAAACTATGACATTCGAATCTTCACGGCTTATCCTAGATCGTGTTGGAATTATATTTTTAATTAGAAAGAATAAAGATGATAAGATTAAATTTA